GTTTTTCAGGATAAAAAAGAAACAGAATGGAGCTAAGCACAGGCAAAATCCTAGAGGAAAACCTGCTTCAGTCTGCTTTCCACCAGACACTGGAGATGAATTCACCTTTCAGCAGGACAATAACCTAAAACACAAGGCCAAATCTACACTGGAGTTGCTTATCAAGAAGACAGTGAATGTTCCTGAGTGGCCGAGTTACAGTTTTGACATAAATCTATGGCAAGACCTGAAAATGGTTCTCTACCAACGATCAACAACCAATTTGATGGAGCTTGAAGTATTTTGAAAAGAATAATAGGCAAATGTTGCACAATCCAGGTGTGGAAAACTCTTAAGAGAGACTTACCGCGAAAGACTCACAGCTGTAGTTGCTGCCAAAGCTGTTTCTCCAAAGTATTGACTCAGGGTTGTGTGAGTACTTATGCAAATTAGATATTTCTGTATTTCATTTTCAATACATTTGCTAACATTTCTAAAAACATGTTTTCACTTTTTCATTATGGGGTATTGTGTATAGATGGGTGAGGGAAAAAACAATATATTTAATCCATTTTGAATTCAGGCTGTAAGACAACAAAATGTGGAATAAATCAAGGGGTATGAAAACTTTCTGAAGGCACTGTAGCTAACAGTAGCAGTATGTGGGTAAAATCACTGGGGAAGCCAAGCCCCCCCCAACCCAACCCCCAAAACAGCAATATTACAACCTGTGTTGTGATAATTGCATTGTTTGCTCTATAACCTGTTAGTTCATATGCCTTGCCACCGTGATATATAGGCCTAAGGCTGAGACAATAACAAAACACAGTGGCAGAATAAAATCAACCACACCTTTGTTTCATCACAAAACTGGAGAACAACATCTGTTCCGGTGGTGTCCATAAAGTATATTGCATGTAACAAACAGTTACATGACCTACAGCATGGTCAATCAAGTTAATGTTTCCGACATTTTCGGACTACTAAACAACTATTGATTTAAAACACCGGAGAGATACCGCAAGTCGCAAAGAAAACAGGAGCTGCCTCCACTATTCCAGCACCACTTCAATGTCATCAAATCCCCTATGCTTAGTCTAATACAGTGACAACTAAAATATTCCAAAAACAATTTAGTCCAATCAACGTAAGCTATATATCATGTGGCTGTCCATGGGACTGATTTCCGTGTGTAAGTAGATGATTTCCGTGTGTAAGTAGAAAAGACATGTTGACTCACCCTACTTGTAGAGAAACACCAATGCCATAATCCTCTCTTTCATGTTGCCGAAACAGTTTATGACTTTGTCATACAGTACACACCTTTTAGTTTTTGTTGTCCTAGGCTACCTGGCTAAAATGCTAACTTCCCTTAATGGGCAACAATTAGCCAGCTAGTTAACATTAGCCTACTACATCTAGCTACATAGTGAACTTCCATCCTCTCAGGCTAGAGGCACAATGTATGAATTTATGGTTGGATCCGAATTGCCGTTTTAATCATTGGCCAATACGGAGAATTAAGTAAAACCACAAGTCCAAATCCATATCTCCATCCAATGGCTAATTTAGGAAAGGGACAATTTTAGCTAGCTAGCCACCGGAGGGCAACAACACAACACAACAATTCAAGTTTTTTTCTGTCAATGATGTTTGGCTTTGGATGTGAAGCCAAATCCAAACTTTTTTTTGGTGCACCAAGACCATTCACAGTTGAGTTCACTCAGTCTAGCTCAACGCTGATTGGCTATCATTGTATATATTTTTTTTATCAAGGGAGGCCAAATGCTCACTGGCTTCCCTTGCTACAGACGGCAACAATATCATACTCTTTTTGACCAGACAGCATCAGATAGATGGGCTACACATACAGAGATAGAGGGGCGCTGTTTCGCTCAATCGGATGCTTTCTCCGGTGAGATACATTCAGCCTCTTGCTAATTGAAGGAAAATTATGAAACAGAGAGATTAAAGATAAATAATTTTCGGGGTTTTGTTTCTTGGTAAATGTTCCCTTGGCATACATGAAAACATGCCACTGATAGCTACACATCAAACATATTGCAGCAACCTTAACCGAACACCTGGCGAAACGGTTAAGGTGTTGTCTTTACAGTCGCTGGACCGTTTTGTAACAGAGGCCAAACCTGACAAATAACTAAAATGTCAACCATAAAACCGTACACCCAAGTACTTTTCTGCAGCTGCCACCACACATCTACAGTGGGGAAAAAAAGTATTTAGTCAGCCACCAATTGTGCAAGTTCTTCCCACTTAAAAAGATGAGAGAGGCCTGTAATTTTCATCATTGGTACACATCAATTATGACAGACAAATTGAGGAAAAAAAATCCAGAAAATCACATTGTAGGATTTTTAATGAATTTATTTGCAAATTATGGTGGAAAATAAGTATTTGGTCACCTACAAACAAGCAAGATTTCTGGCTCTCACAGACCTGTAACTTCTTCTTTAAGAGGCTCCTCTGTCCTCCACTCGTTACCTGTATTAATGGCACCTGTTTGAACTTGTTATCAGTATAAAAGACACCTGTCCACAACCTCAAACAGTCACACTCCAAACTCCACTATGGCCAAGACCAAAGAGCTGTCAAAGGACACCAGAAACAAAATTGTAGACCTGCACCAGGCTGGGAAGACTGAATCTGCAATAGGTAAGCAGCTTGGTTTGAAGAAATCAACTGTGGGAGCAATTATTAGGAAATGGAAGACATACAAGACCACTGATAATCTCCCTCGATCTGGGGCTCCACGCAAGGTGTGGTCCTCTGTAGCTCATCTGGTAGAGCACGGCGCTTGTAACGCCAAGGTAGTGGGTTCGATCCCCGGGACCACCCATACACAAAAATATATGCACGCACGACTGTAAGTCGCTTTGGATAAAAGCGTCTGCTAAATGGCATATTATTATTATTATTATATTATGTCTCACCCCGTGGGGTCAAAATGATCACAAGAACGGTGAGCAAAAATCCCAGAACCACATGGGGGGACCTAGTGAATGACCTGCAGAGAGCTGGGACCAAAGAAACAAAGCCTACCATCAGTAACACACTACGCCGCCAGGGACTCAAATCCTGCAGTGCCAGACGTGTCCCCCTGCTTAAGCCAGTACATGTCCAGGCCCGTCTGAAGTTTGCTAGAGTGCATTTGGATGATCCAGAAGAGGATTGGGAGAATGTCATATGGTCAGATGAAACCAAAATAGAACTTTCTGGTAAAAACTCAACTCGTCGTGTTTGGAGGACAAAGAATGCTGAGTTGCATCCAAAGAACACCATACCTACTGTGAAGCATGGGGGTGGAAACATCATGCTTTGGGGCTGTTTTTCTGCAAAGGGACCAGGACGACTGATCCGTGTAAAGGAAAGAATGAATGGGGCCATGTATCGTGAGATTTTGAGTGAAAACCTCCTTCCATCAGCAAGGGCATTGAAGATGAAACGTGGCTGGGTCTTTCAGCATGACAATGATCCCAAACACACCGCCCGGGCAACGAAGGAGTGGCTTCGTAAGAATCATTTCAAGGTCCTGGAGTGGCCTAGCCAGTCTCCAGATCTCAACCCCATAGAAAATCTTTGGAGGGAGTTGAAAGTCCATGTTGCCCAGTGACAGCCCCAAAACATCACTGCCCTAGAGGAGATCTGCATGGAGGAATGTGCCAAAATACCAGCAACAGTGTGTGAAAACCATGTGAAGACTTACAGAAAACGTTTGACCTGTGTCATTGCCAACAAAGGGTATATAACAAAGTATTGAGAAACTTTTGTTATTGACCAAATACTTATTTTCCACCATAATTTGCAAATAAATTCATAACAAATCCTACAATGTGATTTTCTGGATTTTTTTTCTCTTATTTTGTCTGTCATAGTTGACGTGTACCTATGATGAAAATTACAGGCCTCTCATCTTTTTAAGTGGGAGAACTTGCACAATTGGTGGCTGACTAAATACGTTTTTTCCCCACTGTACGTAGCAAACCGACAGGTGTGGCATATCAAGAAGCTGATTAAACAGCATGATCATTACACAGGTGCACCTTGTGCTGGGTAAAATAAAAGACCACTCTAAAATGTGCAGTTGTGTCACACAACATAATGCCACAGAGGTCTCAAGTTGAGGGAGCGTGCAATTGACATGCTGACTGTAGGAATGTCCACCAGAGCTGTTGCCAGGGAATTTAATGTACATTTCTCTACCATGTCATTTTAGAGAATTTGGCAGTACATCCAACCGGCATCACAACCGCAGACCAGTGTAACCACGCCAGCCCAGGACCTCCACATCCAGCTTCTTCACCTGCGGGATCGTCTAGAGACCAGCCACCTGGACGGCTGATGAAACTGAGGAGTATTTCTGTCTGTAATTAAGCCCTTTTGTGGGGAAAAAAATATTTCTGATTGGCTGGGCCTGTCTCCCCAGTGGGTGGGCCTATGCCCTCCCAGGCCCACCATGGCTGCGTCCTTGCCCAGTCATGTGAAATCCATAGATCAGGGCCAATTGTTATTTATTTAAATTGACTGATTTCCTTATATGAACTGTAACTCAGTAAAATCGTTGAAATTGTTGCATTTATATTTTTGTTCAGTATAGTTTCAGGCCTGTTAGGGTACTCCCAGAAAGTCCTAGCAAAATTCTTGTTTGATAAATATTTTATTGTTAAAAAGCTATTCTTGCCCATTTTATTGGAAATCTATTACCTTAAGGTACGTCATGGTTACCCAGAAATTATTTTATATTGATATAAAAACAGCTTCATTGGGCATTTAAATAGTTACCCCAGCGAAAGTACATATTGTTGTGCTTCCGAGTCAAATTTCCCGGAAAATAACAACATTACATAGTTTGTTCTGTTTATGAAGTATTGCATTTTTCAAATAAATCTAAAGGCCTTATTTAATTGAGACAATCATGGCATTCGATATAAAAAATATTAAACATCAATGCTTGCTTTTATTTGGAAGAAAATTAATAAATTGAAGAATATTCACTTCCGGGACAAACTCCCTGGTCAACACCTTTTAGTAAAGAAGTATGATTGCTAGCGACGTGGTTTCGCTATAATCAAATAATGTTTTATTACTGAATTAAAATCATCTAGATAAGCGACAGGTAAAGTTAACGCTTGTGTTTTGTTGCTGGTCCTTTTTACGTGTTGTGGTAACGAGCCAAGCAAGCAAGCTACCTAAAGGCTACCTGAAAACGAGTGTAAACAACCGGCTAACAGTAGTTAGCTAACGTTACCTAACTTGTTTTGATTTAGTTAGCTAACTACAGTAGCTAGTTGTAGTGCAAGCTAGTTTTAATAAGGCTATTGCTATCTCTACTTAGTCGTTAGCTTGATGACAAGCTACCTTGCTAGCCAAGTCAGTTTGCTAGCTGGTAACCCAAACAACGAGATCTAAGCCAACGATTATATAACTACGGTTTCCCCTTTCTGTGTCTAAACTATGCCTGGGCTAGCTCTAAGACTCTAGACGGCATTAGTTTTCAGCGATTACCTTCGCCCACGACAGGCTCATGTGAACTACAATCCCGACGCGGTGTTTTAACGTTTAGAAACGTCAATAATCATCACTTTCAATAGGCTTTCGTAACATATGGCCCGTATCTTTCATGAGCGAGAAAGAATCCTACAAATAAAAAATATACACTTACTGTAGCAGTTTTGCACAGATCCATGTAGCTATGGGTGCCTCCATCTGATCTGACGAAACTACACTTCCCGAGTTAGGCTTACACACAGGTGTTTGGAGCACCCTACATAGCCAATTAGCACAGCTGGTCTTCCTTTTAACAAGCGATGTAACATGGAGCTATTGCTGTGTGGGAACACTAACCCTATAAAGGTGTGTAGTAATTTAACCTATTGTTTTTTGAAAATTATTTATCGCTGATATGAAAGATATGTTCCTTATGTTTCCAAAAACATTCTGCAAGCGATGCTTGTTAATGTTTTGACTATCGTCTGGGCTCTTAACAAAACTACCCCGGTCCGAAGATACTATTGTCAATAAGCGCCAAAGCAGTTAGCATCTATGAATGGGCTATGTATGTCTGGGTTAGCTGGCTAACGTTACTCCACTCCTGTTGCTATTAACGTTAGCCCAATTGCTTAATTTTGGTGACAACTTTGACTGGTGTCTTAATTGACTTCTCACTGACTTGGATTTATAGAGACAATGTCAAACAAAGAAGTGAAATCGGCTCTAAAAAATGCTAGAGATGCCATAAAGAACAAGGAATTTAAAGAGGCTCTAAAACACTGCAAGGTAAGTCCTTGCCCATTTCTCTATGTTCTTACTACACACACTTATAGTGTGAGGGGAAACTGGGTGATATGTAGGATTTGCTGTTTTGAAAAAGTTATTCTGTCAAATAACTCAAACCAATTCCCCCACCAGGCTGCCCTGAAGCTAGAGAAGAACAATTACAATGCCTGGGTGTTCATTGGAGTGGCCGCGTGCGAGCTGGAGCAGCCAGACCAGGCCCAGACAGCCTACAGGAAGGCTCTGGAGCTCGAGCCAGAGCAGCTGCTGGCCTGGCAGGTACTGTGGATACATCACACCTAGATCAACTGAACTAATATAGGCCCTCACTAGATGTAGGCTTCTAGATAGGACACACAATTGAAGAGTGTCCCAAAAGTAGAGCTGTGACGATAAACCAAAAATTATCGACATTGACCATACACAATCTCTTATCGTGGGCATTTCACTGATATCGTTCATAACGATAAGTAGCCTATACCAGAGAAATGTGACGTTTGAAGTGAAATACATTTGCTAATATGGGTGATTGTTAATGAAATTAATAGTAGTATAAAAAATAAATTTAAAAAAAGAATGTATGCACTCACTAACTGTAAGTCGCTCTGGATAAGAGCGTCTGCTAAATGACTAAAATGTAAATGTAGTAGTTTAAAACCAGTTAAATGTAACGAAATATAATCAAATGTAATACCCAAAATTAATTATTTATCATGAGAGGGTCATAAACAATAACAAGTAATGCTGCATACTCAAAGGTTGAAATCTCACCTTTCTGGTAAAAATAGTTATAAATTGCTGAGGTGTAGTCACTTTTGAGAAAACAAGCTCAAATACACGGTACAAATATGAAATATTTTATATGATGTGTTTCCTATTCAGTAAAACTGTATGAATAAGGATTGAAATGACACATGCTTTCTAAATATAGTATAATCAAATTATAAAACTAACTATAAGATTTCACCTTCCTTGTAACTGTAAAATACATATTTGTATGTTTAGTGTTAGAAAATGTGCATATTTTCTAAAGGTCTTTCTTGATCAAAACGTCTGCCCCCATCGCTGTGAATGTCTCACAGAGCTCTAGCTTGGCTTCCTAAACTTGTTAGGAGCTTGCCTGTCATCACATATTAATATTGTCTGTCTTTGCCAGTGTTTTGTTTAAAAACTATTAATTGTTTTAGATTACTGCCTATAAATCGATCTCTGAATGTGCTACAGCCACAAAAACTATCACTCCTGCTGCGCTAGGATGTAAGGAGTCCAGTCATATGTTCTTAGTGGCTGTGATGTAGGGTTCAGCTAGGAGTTGATGAACTGTCAGAAGAGTGAATGAAATGGTAGGAGGGACATCCCAGCTTCAAGTGGTGTCAGATTTCACATCCTGCTTCATACAGGCAGAAGAGACATACTCCTGTGTCCGTGAGAATCAGGGCTACTGCTCAATACAAGCCATTTCGATCTATGGTGTCCTCAGATCGATTTATAAGCGACAATGTCGGTCGGAACCAGTACCAGAACCACGCAGATCCCCAAAACAGGGGACTTTACATCTAAGAGGATTTATAAAAGGATAATAAATAAATACAAATGTGGTGCACATTAATGTTATAAACTTATCGTTATCGCAACAATTCAGGCGATTTATCTCGTTACGGATTTTTATTCCATATTGCCCAGCTCTACCCAAAAGTCACATTATCTACACATTATCCATCTATCTTACACAGAGTATTCCAGAGCAGTGTTATGGGGCATGTCACTATGTCAACATGCTGACTAGAATGTGACCTGTTATTGTTGCTGTTTTAGGGATTAGCAAACCTGTATGAGAAAAGTGACCAGACGGATTTCAAAGCGGAACTACCCAAAGTCTACCAGAAACTCATTGAGCTTTATGAAAGGTAAGACATGATAATCTCTCGTACCTCTACTACATTACAAATTTCCACCCTGTGGTTAGCTCTTGGACTATTGTGTTTATCTGTGTCTTGTTCTGCATACACAGTTCAGACAAAACAAAATGTTATGAGGTGATCAGAAAACTGGCAGACATCTACCATACGGAGAAGGACTATTTACAGGTATGTAAAGATAGTAGTTGCCCTTCAAATGAAGGAGGATATATGTTGATTGTTGTCATAGGGTGGATGTGTATGCGTTTAGGTGGCCAGGGTGTGGCGAAGGCTGATTCAGCTGAAGGAAGGAGAAGGTGCTGACAAGGCAGAGCTGCTGCAGCTATGTCAAAATATGACCTGCCTTCTCTCAGACAGCGTGGCAGAACAGGACAATGAGACTCAGCAGCACGTAAGAGCAATTATAATATACACAAATAATCCCCTTGATAAACATTGTCTGGGTCGTTCCACCTCAAAAGCAAAAGAAAGAGGATTACAACAGAAAACTATATATTGTCTGACTGTTCTCTCTGCTACCGCACGCCAAGACCAAAAGGCTCCTTAACAGCTTCTACCCCCAAGCCATAAGACTACTGAACAGTTAATGAAAAGGCCACCCAGACTATTTACATTGACCCCCCCCAACCCCCCACACACATTGCTGTTACTCACTGTTTATTATCTATACATAGTCACTTTATCCCTACCTACAGTGCCTTGCAAAAGTATTCATCCCCCTAGGTGTTTTTCCTATTTTGTTGCATTACAACCTGTAATTTAAATTGATTTTTCTTTGGATTTCATGTAATGGACATACACAAAATAGTCGAAATTGTTGAAGTGAAATGACAAAAGAACTTGTTTCAAAAAAGTAAAACAATTTTATAACGGAGACTAAAATTGAGCTTTTTGGCCATCAAGGAAAACGCTATGTCTGGCGCAAACCCAACACCTCATCACCCCGAGAACGCCATCCCCACAGTGAAGCATGGTGGTGGTGGCAGCATCATGCTGTGGGAATGTTTTTCATCGGCAGGGACTGGGAAACTGGTCAGAATTGAAGGAATGATGGATGGCGCTAAATACAGGGACATTCTTGAGGGGAAACCTGTTTCAGTCTTCCAGAGATTTGAGACTTGGACGGAGGTTCATCATCCAACAGGACAATGACCCTAGGCATACTGCTAAAGCAACACTCAAGTGGTTTAAGGGGAAACATTTAAATGTCTTGGAATGGCCTAGTCAAAGCCCAGACCTCAATCCAATTGAGAATTTGTGGTATGACTTAAAGATTGCTGTACACCAGCGGAACCCACCCAACTTGAAGGAGCTCGAGCAGTTTTGCCTTGAAGAATGGGCAAAAATCCCAGTGGCTAGATGTGCCGAGCTTATAGAGACACCCCAAGAGACTTGCAGCTGTAATTGATTTTTGGTCTTATTTCTTGCCTCTTCAAAGTGGTAGGCATGTTGTGTAAATCAAATTATACAAACCCCCCAAAAATCTATTTTAATTCCAGGTTGTAAAGCAACAAAATAGGAAAAATGACAAGGGGGGTGAATACTTCCGCAAGCCACTGTACATGTGCAAATTACCTTGACAAACCTGTACCCCCGCACATTGACTCTGTACCGTTACCCTCTGTATATAGCCTTGTTATTATTTTTTTGTGTTTTTATTTTTTACTTTATTTAGTAAATATTTTCTTAACTCTATTTCTTGAACTGCATTGTTGGTTAAGGGCTTGTAAGTAAGCATTTCACGGTAAGGACTACACCTGTTGAATTCGGCGCATGTGACAAAATGTTATTTGATATTGTGTGTTTGGGATTTTTACCATTGAAGACCATTAGAGACCATACCAGGGGGACCTACAGGGGGTGTGTGGTGTACCAGTGTCTTGTGTTATTGCTAGTCATTGCGAAACGTTTTTCTCCCCTATGCTTTGTGCTCATTCCCACTGTTGATGTTATGTTTATGTTCCCAGTTAATTGCAGCCTTTGAGAAGGCCATGGTTCTCTCTGACAATGTGCCTGGCGAGGACCATCGGAAGCTCTCAGCTGACTACCTCAAATGCCTTTCACAAGTAAGTCCGCCCCTGTCTTTTGCACTCACTCAATCTCTGACACACAGTTATTATGAGTGCTGGGACTCTGGGTTAGGACTAAGGCCGGCATCTTGCGCTGTCAACTGACCAGAAAAATGTTCCTCTCTCTAGCTTTCGCATGAAGAGGGTAAAATGAAAGAGGCCTGTGAGTCCATGTTTGCCCTCTATCCCTCACAAACATTTCCATTGGAGATCCTCAGTGCACATCATCTCAAGTCAGGTAAGAAATCACTGACTTAGCAAACTATAGATAAAGAACTGGTGCAGTCATTGGCAGTGTATAGTTTCACTTCAGGTAAAATAAAAACAAAAGATTGACCTTGCAGGACTGGGGCAGGTCAAGTGTACTATTCAGTGATTAGTATGTATTATTTGATTGAGCCTTTTGTCGTATGGCCAATGGGTCAAAGAAGTGACAGATTGCGCCTTTTAAATAGTCAGCGTGTGTGTATTTGTCTCTTAGGGGTCTGCAGTGAGGATGCAGGCCGCTGTTTCTCCCGTCTCTTGGAGTTGGACCCAGACAGTGGATTAGGCCAGCTGGGCTTGGGCATCAGAGCTCTGGAGGAGAGCAAATGTGACGACGCCATTAAGTACCTGGCCCAAGGTGAGCAGTGTGGGGGCTTTGGTTTGGCTGTTGGTCTGTGGTTTTCTCCACCACCTCACTGTCTGTTGTGCTCTCAGGACTGGAGCGAATGCACTCCAGCTTGGTGGGCTGGTGCAGCCTTGCTCAGGCCCAGCTGAAAATGCACAGATATTCCGACTGCGCAACATCCTGCACCCAAGGTACATCTATCTAAAACATCTGGCTGGTGTTTCATAATCCTAACCTAAACCTTTTCTCTGAAAACCCACCGTACTTTCCACATATCAGAGCTTGGCTATGACCTAACTGTAAGCCTACTCATCCTTGTTTGAAGGTTATAGTGACTTGTCAAAGATTGCCTCTAAGCTCGACCAGTTGAAGACCATATCACCCTTAAGTCAAAGATGTGTATTGAGATGTGGCATTCAGTGCGTTGACAGGCCTAGCTGTGTCCTTTCAGGGCTGAAGCTGGGTGGGGCTGGAGAAGAGGCACTTGGGCAAAAGCTCCTGAGGCTGAGACTAGAGGCCCTTGTGAGGACTGGGGATGAACACACTGCAGACCAAGCCCTGGAGATCCTTTCACAGGTACAGCATTCATACTCCACCGGCTGCTCCCCAACATTTAATTTACTGTCCCTTTAGTTGGTGTAGGCTCAGCACCGATATGCTCTAATTTTCTACCATTACTATCTACTGATATGTATGGGGATTTGTTTGTTTGCTCATCAAAATATATATTTATTTATAGCTTTCAGATGCTAACAATGACCCTGTCCTGGTAGCCTTAAAAGGAAGAGCGTATTTGCAAAAAGGCCAAGTTGACCAAGTGCTCCAGGTAAGACACCTTCGCTTGTCATCCTTCACAATTCTTGGTTACGCTAACGTATCTTAAGTACCTTCAGGTAAATGGGTATCAAATATTTTGTGCCTATTTTGTTGAGTTCCCATGTGCCTACTAATCTCTGGCCTTGTACCCAACAGGTGTCCACGGAGCTGCTGGACTTTCACCCTGATCTGGCCGAGGGACTGGTGCTGAGGGCACTAGTACACATAGCACAGGGCCAGCACCAACTAGCAGAACAGAGGTGTGTCCAGGGACTGCAGTTGAAAGTCTGCCAGCTGGTTAAAACGGGCACTTTTACTATAATGTTCAAAGCAAATGTTATTGGTCACATACATGTGTCTAGCAGATGTTATTGGTCACATACATGTGTCTAGCAGATGTTATTGCGTGTGTAGCGAAATGCTTGGTGTGTGTGTGTGTGCCCATCCCCCATTCAACACACTACTTCTGTATTGATAACTGTCTCTTTTACTACCGTTTTAATCAACAACTCATCACTGTTCCTAAGAGACTGTGTGACTGAACTAGACCATGTAGTTAGATCAACCTTCCTCTTGTCTTCTCCTGTCCCCGTTGTAGCCTCCTGCAGGCCACAGCCCAGAGCCCAGCCTGTGGAGAGTACTACTTCCTGTTGGGGCAGCTCTACTGGGACATGGGGGAGGAGAGTCGCAGGGACAGGAGCAAGGCCCACACCCATCTACTGAAGGTCAGTGTTGCCTGCAGGGCCTCTGCCTGGGAACACTGTGTAGATGGATAATCATACTATGGAGAATGCATTATGGTCACATCCACACATAAGCAACTCCCTGCCGTTTTTAAATGCACACTCATTGATGAGAGGTTCCTGCACATTGTTACTCGTATGGCTTTTAAATGTCATAGGATGATCAAGAGGCTTTAACAGTGGGCGGGATGGGCTGTGGGCACATTGCTGGCTTTGGTAAAGTTAAACTACAGTGCTGCTCACATCCAGCTGTACGGTATGACATTAGTTTGGTGATTGGCTCACTGCCATTACTGACAGCTGGTGTGTTTTGTGTCAGGCTGCCAAACTGGATCCGTACCTGGGCTCGGTGTTCCGCTACCTGGGCCATTACTACCGGGAGGTGGCCAGGGACCAGGGCCGAGCCAGGGGCTGCTACAAGAGAGCCTTTGAGCTGGACAGCAAAGACGCAGAGTCCGGGGCTGCCTCTGTGGATCTGAGCATGAAGGAGGGGGACATGGTGAGTTGTCTGTTGATCTGTGCTGGTCATGGAGGGCTGTAGCCGATAACAGCAGACTTTCCCCTGTGGAAGTGACTAGTAGTCCATCCACCTGATTTCAATACATTTTGATATAATATAAATGTCACTTAGGCCTACCTAACTGTTTGAATCAGTTGATTTTGGGCCTGGCTGAAATGTCTCGCTTGCTAGTATAGACTATGGACATTATAGTATAATCCAATCTATGCTGCTGTGTCAAGCGTCTGTCCCTGTTCCCTCTATCTGCCTTCCCCAGGACACTGCCCTGGCTGTGCTCCAGTCAGTGATCGAGAGAGCCACCCCTGGTTCAGCTAAGTGGGCCTGGATGAGACGAGGCCTATATCACCTGAAGGTGGGCCAGCACCCCCAGGCCTGTGCAGAGTAAGTTCCCTGAGGCTACCACTCACTTGAACAGTCTGACACCACACACACACACACACACACTAACACACACACGCACTCATTGATGTGTTATGTCAGTCTGCAGGCTGCTCTGAGGGCCGACCCCCAGGACTGGGTGTGCTGGGAATGTCTGGGCGAGGCCTACCTGAACCGCCGGAGCTTCACGTCGGCCCTGAAGGCCTTTGCCAAGGCCCAGCTGCTCAACCCCTCCTCCATTTACAGCCTCTACCAGACTGCTGCCATCAAACAGACCCTGGGCAAGTTCAAAGAGGCTGCTGCAGAGTACCTGCAGATCATAGCCCAGGAGGACTACGTGCCTGCACTCAAAGGTAGGGGTGTGTCTGCGTGCACACGTGCGTGCCTACTGTCATTTTTGGTGTCTATTCCAGGGTGATTTATTGTTTTACACTCTTGCACCCTGACAGGACCTTATTATCTAATTTTTGTTGCGACTGTGACAGTCTGACAGCGTACACTAATTACAGTATGTTCAGAAGCTCTGAATGGACCATGTTGGAGGATGACCTTTCCTTGAATCCCAGTCGTCACATATCACAATGCTTGGGGCTGGTGGTAATTTCCCTGTATTGTGTGTGTGTCCCTGTGCTGCCCCCAGGCCTTGGGGAGTGTCTGCTTTCCTTGGCCAGAGGCCTGATGGAGGACTATAGAGATGGTGGAGCCATAGACCTCATCCAGCAGGCCATCCAGTACCTCTTCAGGTTAGACACTTCACTCAGTGCTCCCAGGAGCCCAGAGCGGCAGCTCATTGAATAGGATTACTGGAACTCGCCATCAGAGAGAATTGGAATTCATTGGGTCCATAATCAAATTACACTGTGCTATCAAAGGGAAATCGGCACTTTGCTTTCAATTGGAAATACAGAGCAATTTGCTCATGAGAATAACTTGGGCTACCAGTATTACGTTTGATAATGCCTTGTTGCTTTCGTGTAATGTGAGGACTTTGAACCTACATCATTTCTCAAGTTGCTCATGAACGAAAAGTCAAGGGCCTTAACACATTATTTGTTTTTCATTACCGGTACTAAAAATTATTTTGCACTGATAAAATGTATACAAAAACACACTTGACTGTACTTAACATCCCCTTCCCCTGTGTCTGTCCAATCCCAGGGCTGTAGAGCTCCGTCCAGACCTGTCCTGTCTGTGGAAGTTACTGGGAGATGCCTGCACCTCAGTCAGCACTGTGGCCCCCAGCAGGGCCCGCGTTGTGGTGCCAGGCCTCCTGGCCCAGTTACAACCCCCAGACCAGGGCCACCTTCTCAACCAGGGACACATCCTCCGAGTGGGGGAGAGGTGAGGCGCCAACACCGGCTAGTCACTAGTGTTATGATAGAAGCCACATGATTTGAATACACAGGACAACACTAATGGTCAATGGATACTGTGGAGGAGGCACCCGCCTGGGAACTCTCTAGTGATAGGATTATTAGGTTTGGTCTGCACTGTAAGATGAATCAGGAGTCAATGACACACAATGATTGTCTTTGTGTACAGATGCTATGGGCGTGCTCTGAAGCTGATGCCTGAGAGCTCCAGCCTGTGGTATGACCTGGGTCTCAACTACTACCACCAGGCCCGTCTGCCCCCCTGCCCTCAGGAGATGGAGCACACCACCCTGCTGCTGCTGCTGGAGAAGGCCCTGCAGGTACACATCTCACCTGGATGGATGGATGGATGGATGGGGTAGAACACTCATTTGTCTTGGGAGGAGGAGTTGGAAGAGATGTATTCAGCCCAATTCTTGGAGTTCAACACGTTGCATAGTTCACATACAATATCAATGTAATGCATTAAATATACTCTTTCTCTTCTCGTCAGTGTGTGAAGAAGGCCATCATGTTGAACAGTAGTAACCATAGCTACTGGAACGCCCTGGGAGTGGTCGCCATGAGCAAAGGTAGAAAGGTGTAGCCTGGGTACCAGCGTGTTTCTGCTATCATTCCACTTCTTGTCATGTTTGGCAATGACATGGAGTACAAGGAGTGGAATGTTGGACCCAAGTTTTACTTTTGTCTGGTTGATGGGAGCCTTCGTTGGTGGTGGAGCTATGGGATGTTGTTGCCATGTCTTTAGGTCTGTTTATAACGTATGAATAGCTAAGTGTTTACTCTTCCTTTTCAGGAATTGAGAACTATGCCCTTGCCCAACACAGCTTCATTAAGTCAGTGCAAGTGGAACCCAATGTAAGTACAACACCTCACACAGTATTGGGTACTCACTTTTCATTGAATCATCTCTTATGTCTTAGTCTGGGTACCAGTCTGTTTAGCTATCATTCCACTCCTTGTCATGCTAAACAGACTGGCCTTTCTGCCATCCTCAAATATGAACATTCTATCATTAATGAGCTTGAGGAGAACAGAGGCTTTGATCCTGATTCGATAACCCTCACAACTACAGTTGAAGTCGGAAGTTTACATACACTTAGGTTGGAGTCATTAAAACTAGTTTTTCAACCACTCCACAAATTTCTTGTTAACAAACTATAGTTTTGGCAAGTCGGTTAGGACATCTACTTTGTGCATGACACCAGTAATGTTTGCAACAATTGTTTACAGACAGAATATTTCACTTATAATTCACTGTATCACAATTCCAGTGGGTCAGAAGTTTACATACACTCAGTTGACTGTGCCTTTAAACAGCTTGGAAAATTCCAGAAAATGATGTCATGGCTTTAGAAGCTTCTGATAGACTAATTGACATCATTTGAGTCAATTGGAGGTATACCTGTTGATGTATTTCAAGGCCTACCTTCAAACTCGGTGCCTCTTTGCTTGACATCATGGGAAAATCAAAAGAAATCAGCCAAGACCTCAGAAAACAAATTGTAGACCTCCACAAGTCTGGTTCATCCTTGGGAGCAATTTCCAAACACCTGAAGGTACCATGTTCATCTGTACAAACAATAGTACGCAAGTATTATATATGCAACTGCACATGGGGACAAAGATCATACTTTTGGGAGAACTGTCCTCTGGTCTGATGAAACAAAAATAGAACTGTTTGGCCATAATGACCATCATTATGTTTGGAGGAAAAAGGGGGAAGCTTGCAAGCCGAAGAACACCCTCCCAACCGTGAAGCACGGGGTGGCAGCATCATGCTGTGGGGGTGCTTTGCTGCAGGAGGGACTGGTGCACTTCACAAAATAGATGGCATCATGAGGAAGGAAAATGATGTGGATATATTGAAGCAACATCTCAAGACATCAGTCAGGAAGTTAAAGCTTGGTCACAAATGGGTCTTCCAAATGGACAATGACTCCAAGCATACTTCCAAAGTTGTGGCAAAATGGCTTAAGGACAACAAAGTCAAGGTATTGGAGTGGCCATCACAAAGCCCTGACATCAATCCTATAGAACATTTGCTGGCAGAAATGAAAAAGCGTGTGCGAGCAAGGAAGCCTACAAACCTGACTCAGTTACACCAGCTCTGTCAGGAGGAATGGGCCAAAATTCACCCAACTTATTGTGGGAAGCTTGTGGAAGGCTACCAGAAACGTTTGACCCAAGTTAATCAATTTAAAGGCAATGCTACCAAATACTAATTGAGTGTATGTAAACTTCTGACACACTGGGAATGCGATGAAAGAAATAAAAGCTGAAATAAATAATTCTCTATTATTATGACATTTCACATTCTTAAAATAAAGTGGTGATCCTAACTGACCTAAGACAGGGAATATTTACTAGGATTAAATGTCAGGAATTGTGAAACTGAGTTTAAATGTATTTGGCTAAGGTGTATGTAAACTTCCGACTTCAACTGTATCATCCAATCACAACGATTATGCAAATATTGGAACTATATCACTTTTTTTTCCTCCACAGCACACGTTGGTATCTTTTTTTGTTTGTTGTCCAGATGAAACCAGTCTGTCAAAAGCTGCTAGCTCATGTCAAAATTCTCAAAGTTAATCCATACTGCAATTCCAACCACAAAATGTCTCTGCTTTAATTTTAAGCCTAAACATGCAACAGCTTGCCTAGCTAACAGCTAAATGTTTTTTACTTTGTTAGAATTCTATCTTCCAGACTCCCCATGTTGTCATGGAATTATTTATGTTATGTTTAACAACCAATCAGCTACTCCACCATAAATCCAGCTGCATATTGAATGTTGAGATTGCCGGAAGGCCAGTCTCTTTGGCAATGACACGGAGTACAAGGAGTGGAATGTTAGCTAAACAGACTGGTCCCCAGGCTAGTTATGTGGATGTGTTTTAAAAAGAAATGTCCTCCCAATCTAGAATGTTGTTGCTTGGACAAACCTGGGTGCTTTGTATCTGAAGAAGGACAATGTTGAGGTATGTGTCTTCTAGACTGTCAATTCCTATGTCTATATTCTGTCTGTATAGTCTGTATTACTGTCAGGTCCATTGTACTAGGAATGTCTCATTGTAAATGTACTTGATTCTGATTCTATCTACGGATGTTTATTGAAAGCATCAACTTGTATAGTGTGTTATTGTATTAGTCACTTCATTCCCCTGTTAGTTAACAATCCTGCTCCATTGCTTTCCCAGCTCTCCCATGAAGCCTTTAAGATTGCCCAGTCTTTGGAACCGCTGTATGTCGGCTGCTGGATTGGACAGGTATCTAGTGACATGCCTGCAAGGCACCAGAGACCCTAACCATGCAAGCCAGTGTTGCTCAATGTTATACAGACAAGTTCTAACCTCCTTCTATCCCCCACTTTTTCTTTTTCTCCTCTTGTCTATCACTATTTATCCTCTTGTTCCCCATATCCCGTTTTCTACTTGTATCTTCCAGGCCCTCATTGCAGAGATGGTGGGCAGTTATGATACCATGGACCTGTTCAGACACACCACAGAGCTCAGTACACACGTATGTCAATTCATTCCCTTATTTAGGCTACTGTTGGTGGTCCTCAGCTGAGACCTATTGGAATGATGAGAATGTATGATGATATAGTATCTCATTGTCCACTATTCTGTTATCCTGTCTCCTGTTTATTCTCTCCTTCTCTCGCTCTCCTGCTCTCTCTCTCTCTTCCTCTTCCCCTCCCCCCCACACACACACACACACACACACACACCCCTAGACGGAGGGGGTAAAGGGCTATGCCTATTGGGTTTGTGCCACTCTGCTGGATAAGAGTAACAGGGACTCTGAGCTCTATCGCTACAACATCGTCCAGATGAATGCAGTGTCTGCCGCTCAGGTGGCTTTGAGCAAGTACACAGGTGTGTGGTTGAGTCATCCATCAAACTTTCGTACAACGGCCTTTTATGCTATAATTGGCTAAACAAGAGATTGTTGTACCTTGTTGTATCTTCTGTCTTTGATTGTCAAATTTAGAAATGAGCGCTAAGAGCCTAAAGGGAAATGTCTTCTGAAATAGTTAGTTTCTTTCTGTCTTGTCAGAGCGGATCCAGACAGACCCTGATGCCTTCGTCATGCTGGGTTTCCTCAACGAGCACCTGCAGCTAAAGAAGCAGGCAGTGCTGGCCTACCAGAGGTGTGTCTGTCTTTGTCTGTCTGGTTATGGAGTGTGTGTGTGACTGTGTGCCTGTACTTGCTATTTAAATGAAAGGTTAAATAGAAAATTAATCTCTTGAATAGGAAATTAATCTCTTGTTTTTCATGAAGTAATTCACTAATGCCATATGTTTGGACTTCCTCTTCTCCTCAGAGCTGTGGAGCTGCTGCAGGCGATGCCTTCCGTGGAGTTACTGGCCTTCTCCCTGGGAAGCTATGGCCGGGCCCTCTGGTACCACAACAATTTGTCCTTGATACAGACATTCCAAAATGATTGACAGATCTCAGAAAACAGGCTTTGGTCAGTTTCGTAGTATAAGTGTGGTGTTTCTTCCCCACAGCAACACAGGCCAGTGGGAGGAGGCAGTGCATGCTTACTCCTCCACATCTCTAGAGGAGCTCCACGACCTGGCAGGCCTGGCGCTGGTCTACTGCAGAGCAGGACTCATCCCAGAGAGCATCAGTGGTGAGTGGCTCATTCAGTGTGTGTGAGTGGGCATGCGCAAGTTTGTGTTTCTTTGTGTGATTATATGTTTGGATGCCTTTCAACGTTGCCCTGTCCCCTCTGTCTCCTAGCCTATGAGAAGGCTCTGATGGTGGCCTCCAGTGAGAAAGAGAAGGCCTACATTCTGACTTCTCTGGCTCTGCTGCAGCACAGACTGGGGAACATGGACTCCGCTAAAACACTGCTCTTCAAATGGTCAGTTCCCCCTGACACTCCACTGCTTCAACACGTCTCCCTTCACACATTGAATGAAGACCTAAATGACTAAACCTACGGTGTGTGTGTGCGCATCTGTCTCTTTGCATCTGTGTGTGTCCATAGCTCCATGCTGAAGGAACCTGTGCCAGAGTCTCTGCTGTGCCTGTGTGCTCTGGGGCTAGTCCATGGGGACAGCACGCTGGCCAGCGCGGCCCTCACTGAGCTGCTGAAGCAGGGCAGGGCCACTGGGGCTGCCGTGGAGCAACGCTGCCTGCTCACCTGCACCCTGCTGGCTCTGCAGGGCAACCACAGCGCTGTGCAGCGAGAGGCCTCCAGGGCCGTCCACAGGTACAACATCTCAGCAGACAAACACACCGAACACCACTGCCAAGGGTGTAGTCAATAGTCCAAAGGAAAACGTTTTGCAACGAAAATTAGTTTCATATTGGACCAAACACTAGGTAGGTCCAGGTAGTTACCTCCCCGTTTCAGCCCGTTTGGCTCCATTTGGTTCATAGTGTGTGCACCCCAAATCTCAATATCGACCCATAACCCCTGCCTGTACTACACACCTATTCCACCCCCCTTCCCTTGAGTAGCATCATGGTCCCTTTCTTATAGTTTAGGATTAAAGAAAGAGCTAGAATGTCTTCCGTATGAGTAGGTATGTAGATACAGGTAATTACACATGTTTTCTTGTTGTGTTGGTGCAGTAACCCTGGGAATCCTTCCCTGTGGGCCCTGCTCTCCAGACTGGTGCCACAGTATTACCCCAGGAAGGCCAACGTATGTCACCTCAGCCATACATACATACATACATACATACATACATACAGTGGGGAGAACAAGTATTTGATACACTGCTGATTTTGCAGGTTTTCCTACTTACAAAGCATGTAGAGGTCTGTAATTTTTATCATAGGTACACTTCAACTGTGAGAGACGGAATCTAAAACAAAAATCCAGAAAATCACATTGTATGATTTTTAAGTAATTAATTTGCATTTTATTGCATGACATAAGTATTTGATCACCTACCAACCAGTAAGAATTCCGGCTCTCACAGACATGTTAGTTTTTCTTTAAGAAGCCCTCCTGTTCTCCACTCATTACCTGTATTAACTGCACCTGTTTGAACTCGTTACCTGTATAAAATACACCTGTCCACACACTCAATCAAACAGACTCCAACCTCTCCACAATGGCCAAGACCAGAGAGCTGTGTAAGGACATCAGGGATAAAATTGTAGACCTGCACAAGGCTGAGATGGGCTACAGGACAATAGGCAAGCCGCTTGGTGAGAAGGCAACAACTGTTGGCGCAATTATTAGAAAATGGAAGAAGTTCAAGATGACGGTCAATCACCCTCGGTCTGGGGCTCCATGCAAGATCTCACCTCGTGGGGCATCAATGATCATGAGGAAGGTGAGGGATCAGCCCAGAACTACACGGCAGGACATGGTCAATGACCTGAAGAGAGCTGGGACCACGGTCTCAAAGAAAACCATTAGTAACACACTACGCCGTCATGGATTAAAATCCTGCAGCGCATGCAAGGTCCCCCTGCTCAAGCCAGCGCATATCCAGTCCCGTCTGAAGTTTGCCAATGACCATCTGGATGATCCAGAGCAGGAGTGGGAGAAGGTCATGTGGTCTGATGAGACAAAAATATAACTTTTTGGTCTAAACTCCACTCGCTGTGTTTGGAGGAAGAAGAAGGATGAGTACAACCCCAAGAACACCATCCCAACCGTGAAGCATGGAGGTGGAAACATCATTCTTTGGGGATGCTTTTCTGCAAAGTGGACAGGACGACTGCACCGTATTGAGGGGAGGATGGATGGGGCCATGTATCGCGAGATCTTGGCCAACAACCTCCTTCCCTCAGTAAGAGCATTGAAGATGGGTCGTGGCTGGGTCTTCCAGCATGACAACGACCCAAAACACACAGCCAGGGCAACTAAGGAGTGGCTCCGTAAGAAGCATCTCAAGGTCCTGGAGTGGCCTAGACAGTCTCCAGACCTGAACCCAATAGAAAATCTTTGGAGGGAGCTGAAAGTCCGTATTGCCCAGCGACAGCCCCGAAACCTGAAGGATCTGGAGAAGGTCTGTATGGAGGAGTGGGCCAAAATCCCTGCTGCAGTGTGTGCAAACCTGGTCAAGACCTACAGGAAATGTATGATCTCTGTAATTGCAAACAAAGGTTTCTGTACCAAATATTAAGTTCTGCTTTTCTGATGTATCAAATACTTATGTCATGCAATAAAATACAAATTAATTACTTAAAACTCATACAATGTGATTTTCTGGTTGAAGTCTCTCACAGTTGAAGTGTACCTATGATAAAAATTACAGACCTCTACATGCTTTGTAAGTAGGAAAACCTGCAAAATCGGCAGTGTATCAAATACTTGTTCTCCCCACTGTACATACATACAGTTGAAGTCGGAAGTTTACATACACCTTAGCCAAATACATTTAAACTCAGTTTTTCACAATTCCTGACATTTTAATCCTAGTAAAAATTCCCTGTTTTAGGTCAGTTAGGATCACCACTTTATTTTAAGAATGTGAAATGTCAGAATAATAGTAGAGAGAATGATTTCTTTCAGCTTTTATTTCTTTCATCACATTCCCAGTGTGTCAGAAGTTTACATACACTCAATTAGTATTTGGTAGCATTGCCTTTAAATTGTTAACTTGGGTCAAACGTTTTGGGTAGCCTTCCACAAGCTTCCCACAATAAGTTGGGTGAATTTTGGCCCATTCCTCCTGACCCATTTGCGACCAAGCTTTAACTTCCTGACTGATGTCTTGAGATGTTGGTTCAATATATCCACATAATTTTCCTTCCTCATGATGCCATCTATTTTGTGAAGTGCACCAGTCCCTCCTGCAGCAAAGAACCCCCACAGCATGACGCTGCCACCCCCGTGCTTCACGGTTGGGATGGTGTTCTTCAGCTTGCAAGCTGCCCCCTTTTTCCTCCAAACATAACGATGGTCATTATGGCCAAACAGTTCTATTTTTGTTTCATCAGACCAGAGGACATTTCTCACAAAAGTACGATCTTTGTCCCCATGTGCAGTTGCAAACCGTAGGCTGGCTTTTTTTTATGGCGGTTTTGGAGCAGTGGCTTCTTCCTTGCTGAGCGGCCTTTCAGGTTATGTCGATATAGGACTTGTTTTACTGTGTATAAAGATACTTTTGTACCGGTTTCCTCCAGAATCTTCACAAGGTCCTTTGCTGCTGTTCTGGGATTGATTTGCACTTTTCGCACCAAAGTACGTTCATCTCTAGGAGACGGAACGAGTCTCCTTCCTGAGCGCTATGACGGCTGCGTGGTCCCATGGTGTTTATACTTGCGTACGATTGTTTGTACAGATGAACGAGGTACCTTCAGGTGTTTGGAAATTGCTCCCAAGGATTTATTTTCTGAGGTCTTGGCTGATTTCTTTTGATTTTCCCATGATGTCAAGGAAATAGGCACTGAGTTTGAAGGTAGGCCTTGAAATACATCCACAGGTACACCTCCAATTGACTCAAATGATGTCAATTAGCCTATCAGAAGCTTTTAAAGCCATGACATCATTTTCTGGAATTTTCCAAGCTGTTTAAAGGTACAGTCAACTTAGTGTATGTAAACTTCTGACCCACTGGAATTGTGATACAGTGAAATATTCTGTCTGTAAACAATTGTTGGAAACATTACTTGTGTCATGCACAAAGTAGATGTCCTAACCGACTTGCCAAAACTATAGTTTGTTAACAAGACATTTGTGTAGTGGTTGAAAAACGAGCTTTAATGACTCCAACCTAAGTGTATGTAAACTTCCGACCTTAACTGTACATACATGCACACACTGAGCTGGTACTTGATCAGCTTGTGTTGTGTGCTCCAGGGAGGTGCGGTGGCAGGCCACGTGGCGTGTCTCGCCAGCATGACCCAAGGGAAGGTACGTATGCACTCTTAACCCCACATCTCAACCCTACCCCTCGTCTCTACCTGACACCCCCCAAATGTCACTACTGATCCTCTCTGTAATGTTTGGTCGCCTCCCTCTCACTGTGTCTATTCTGTCTCTGTGTGTTTGCTGCCTGCCGCTACCTGTGTGTGGCTGCAGAGGGCACTGCTGTACAGTGGAGTGAACCAGCTGGCGTGTGGCAGACACTCTGGAGAAGACCGCAGCAGGAACGCCCTGAAGACCATGCAGAGGGCTGTGCTGCTCTGCCCCGGTAAGACCACACACACAGCCTTTTCCAACATAAACATCGACACACAAAGCCTCAATCCCTTTAAAACTGTGTATGGACTCCCTGATGTAACGTGTTCCTCTCCTCTCCCCGTCTGTGTCAGATGACCCGGCGGCATGGGCGGGGCTAATGGCTGCTTGTCACACTGAGAACACAGCCTGCTCCCTCTCTGGCTCCACCCCTGCCAGACGAGGCTTGGAGCAGGTGCTCATGGCTGTGGTGTCAGAGAAAGGTAGGTCAGCACTGGTCTGAGGTGTTTGTGGCTATGTGGACATGTGCAGCAAAGACATGGGCCTTTGTAACATTGTTTTAGTTTTGGACCAATTCAAATGTGATTCTCTCTCTCTCTCTCTCTCTCTCTCTCTCTCTCGTGTGCAGTGCGGAATGTGGAGGAGGTGGAGCAGCCTCTGGCCCAGGCTCTGGAGGGTTGGGTGCTGCAGCAGGCTGTGACAGGACTGACAGGTGGAGGCCAGCTAGAGCAGGCTGAGGCCCTCTGCTCTCAGGTAACCCCCCCCCCCCCCCCACACACACACGGTCAAAACCCACACACACACCCTGTACGCGCAACAGTCATACGTCCCCTATACGCTCAGCACTTCCAAACCACATCCGTCATACATCTCTCTCAGAGCTCTTGAATCTAATTTGAAAGTGATGGCGTTTTCATGTTTGATCTCCTGAAGACTCTCCTGCAATTCTCCCCATCTGGCCCATGTCGTTTGGAAATGCGCTTCATGGTCCACAATTCTGAAGTGTCATCCTCTAAACCCGTCTCTCCTCCCTCTCCCCCCCTCCTCCCAGGTCCTGAGTGTGTCTCCTGAGCACCCCGCTGTAGTCCTGCTGTTGAGGCAGGTGCAGTGTGAACACCTCCTGCTGTCCAGCGCCGGTACTGCCCTGCCAGCTTCTGTCCTGGAGCAGCTCAGCAGTGCTGTCCTAGCCAATCACACCTCAGTGGCCGCCTGGCACGTGAGTCACACACTGCCGACTGGGGGGGGAGTGGACACATGCACATAGGTGTACATGGAAGATATTGGCCTGGATGTCTGTAAAGTATTGTATGTTCACAGCCTTCTTCCCTCACTTGTCTCTCCCCGTCCCCTCCTCTCTCAGTGGCTGGCGGAGGTGTATCGTACCCAGGGTCTGCTGGTACAGGCAGTAATGGCATACAGACAAAGCCTGCAGCTGGCCTCCCAGCTTGGCCTCCACAGTGGAAAAATGGCCTGTCTTCTGCGCCTAGCCCTGCTGGCCCTCAGCCCCTGCATGGTGAGTCTCCCTCTGGGCCGAGCCCTGCTGGGCATGGTGAGTCTCCCTCTGGGCCGAGCCCTGCTGGACATGGTGAGTCTCCCTCTGGGCCGAGCCCTGCTGGGCATGGTGAGTCTCCCTCTGGGCCGAGCCCTGCTGGCATGGTGAGTTCCCTGGGCCGAGCCCTGCTGGGCATGGTGAGTCTCCCTCTGGGCCGAGCCCTGCTGGGCATGGTGAGTCTCCCTCTGGGCCGAGCCCTGCTGGGCATGGTGAGTCTCCCTCTGGGCCGAGCCCTGCTGGGCATGGTGAGTCTCCCTCTGGCCCGAGCCCTGCTGGGCATGGTGAGTCTCCCTCTGGGCCGAGCCCTGCTGGGCATGGTGAGTCTCCCTCTGGGCCGAGCCCTGCTGGGCATGGTGAGTCTCCCTCTGGGCCGAGCCCTGCTGGGCATGGTGAGTCTCCTTTTGTGCTACACTGACAACACCAAGACCTTGGGGCAAGGGGGAACAATTGATTCAACATGGTGGTGTCTTACTGTAATATTTAATACTGAACTTTTTAATAAGTTTCTGGAATACCATGGAATGTTACATATCAAGGAGCAATACGGTTATTTACACATCCATGACAAGTCAAGAATGCGGCGTTTGTTTGTATTCCAGGAAATTGTACCAGTGATCCTTGACATATGAACCCTTTGTCCTAAAAAAAAAAGTCTGAAATGTGGTTGAACCAAGGGTGCTGGTGTATTGAGTCAATTGCTAACAGTAAACATGCATTGTACACAGCTGGTTATATAAAAAAGACACTCACACAGAGGCCCATTCCCGAAATACAGAGACAGACAACAGAACACACACATATGGCAGGTTAGTGAGGGATGACACACACACACAATGATGGGACCACTGATCAAGGCCAGGTGGAAATGCAAACAGCACCAAGGGAATTCATTGTCAGGTTACAGTAACTGCTTTTATACAGCTCCCCCATCCCTTTCAACAGCCCCAGTGTATGTACAGCTCTAAAAAGGGAGGTTTGGGTTATGCATCAGACTCGGGCTGTGAGCATAGCCGTGGGAAGTAGGGGTGCTGATGGTGCTGCAGCACGTTTCTCTTCCTGTGAGGTGGTAATGATCTGTCTCTCAGCACCTGCTGGGTTCCCCTCTCTTAGCCTGAGCCCACATTAATGGCAGACATGGTACAAAATACAAAGCCTTCCAGATCAGACAATTCTTTGATTAAACAGTGGAACATTGCATTGTCTTTTTCATCAATGTAGTTACTGCTATAAAGCTTCAAGGGACATTCACCTTCTGCTCACCTATATGGAGGTATGAAATGTTTAGAGTTATTTTTCTGTGTGTGTCAGGCGAAAGTCCCTGGTGATGAATGGAAGGAGCTGGTTCTGGAGGCGACCACCGAGGCTCTGAAGCTGGGCCCCTCCCCTGTAGCCCTCCTCGTCCAGGCACTGCTACACTTCTCCACCAAGATGGCCGCCAGGTGGGCACCCTGCTACGCTCATCAGAGTGGCTGGCGATGTCCCAATTTATCTCTCCTTCCTCCCAAAGTGTGGACTTATTCACTTCCTTACCAGTAGCTTCCTTTCAAGTTAGGAATCAGAAATATGGTGAAAACTCCCACTAGCCAATGTCTCCACCAAGCCAATGCTTTTAGATGTATGGGAAGTAGTGAATGAGTGTACACTTCAAGATAAAGGAGATATTATTGGGATGCACCCTTAATCTCCATTTCACACTCGCCCCTCACCATGACCGCAAATCTTCAACTAATGTGTTCAACAGTACAGTTGATATGAATGATGCCATTACCGGACAGCTTATACTCGTGTAATACAACTTCATAACACATTCACAATAAGTAAAAGCCCTTGCACATTCAGTGCAAACAACTCTCTCCTGTCGTCTGAGTCGGATTGCTCTGATTGTTGTTGTCGTCCAGGGAGACGAGGCGTCTGTTGGAGAGGCTGGTGTACGCCCCCTCCCATGGTTACCCGGAGACGGTGGCGTGTGTGGCCCGCTGGTACCTCCTACGCCACCTGCACGCCAAAGATGACCTGGAGCTGATGGACGTGAGTACAGAATTAACCAATTACAGCGAAGAGATTTCTAAGAAGTATTCATGTGTGATTGGTTTAAAAAGACTAACTTGACAGTATTTGTGGGTAAAATGAGATGCAATATTTATTACAGGAGAAGGTAGTATATTTACTGTGTATTGATTGCTTGGGCTGTCTAAGCAGGGCGCACAGTTGAGGCCAGGTGTACTGTTTCAATAAGAAAGGAGCAGGCCAGCCAGGTGGGATGCACTGAGGTAGCAGCAGTTAGCTAGGGACTGCCAATCAGCAGTTTTTAACTTTGTGTGCGTCTCTGTCTGTGTGTGTCTTTAGACCCTGGTGGATCAAGCCAAAGCCTGTGGAGACGGCAGACTGCTGGAGTTCCACACACTGCTCACCTCTGGCTGAATGACTGACTACCAGGGGACAGCACCGCTCCATCCACAGCCAGCCACTCACTCAGCAAACAATGCATGACCTGAAGTCAACAATGTATCTCCTTCACTGCCTGACTCCTGTGCTGTCTCTCCCTTTCACAATCATGTCAAATGTTTACAGTACTTATGGTATTTGTATGCAGTGGATTAGTTTAGGCGATCAGTTCTTACTATGGGACATTGGAATGATGTTGGGATTTGGGAATAACACCCACAGGAGGCACTGAGGGTCAAAACACTAGCCTCTGAAGATGGTATCTTAACTTTTTGAACAGCACGGCAGGATGTAGAGGAGTGGTCATATCATGCATAGGGTATGTTGTCGTCTATGTACGATCGTATGCATGAATGAGATGACCACTCTATCCTGCTATGCTGTTCAAAGGGTATGCTTTATGTAAGTAGAAGGGAAGGTAGTGGTAAGCAGTGAACACATCCCCTAAAACATGTTCCTGTCACAATGTTTAGTGTTCCTATTCAGCAGCTTAACTTCAAATCCTCAGAGGTGCATTCTGTAGCTTTAAGTTCATTTCCCCAGTGGCAACTCACAGTACTACAAACGCATTCAGCCAAAAACAAATGGATACATTTGGACACACCCAAACCGACACCTTCAGATTCAGCACTTTTGACCGGAAAAAAATAACTCTTCCAAAACATATGTATTGTCTTTAGACAGCTTCTGGTGAATGTTCACTAGTAAACCCATATTTAACTGACCAGTTACTAAATGCCTTGACTGATACTTGTGATATTGACAGACAAACAAGGTCATGTTTCAATTCTGTAGTTGACTAATTCAGAATGTAAACTTTGGCATTTTGTTATTGCACTATGCTGTTTATCATGTAGAAAAGTGCCTTCCTCAGAGCATGATCTATATTAACATATCTGCTTTTGGGTGTTGCCTTAAAGACAAAATATGTATTACTTAATTACATTTTTAATTTGCTCTCAAACCCAACCCACTGGTGCGGAAGGCCACCCATATATATGCTCTAAGCCTGCCCATGAGTCAGGACTGAAGAGTAAAGATGGCTGAAATCACATCACACACCACTGGGTCCCAAACTCCTTAGATTCCAGTGTAGTTTGCACTGTGCATACTGAGGAAATTGTGCTTTAAACAAGGAGCTTTCTCCGAAACGAGTCAGCAATAAATATAATTGAAGGGAATTAAGCTGCCGTCCTCAACCTGCTTTTACAATTGTTGCTTCTTTATTTCATATGAATGCTGTCACACATTGCAACACAGCCAAATGATATCATGTACCCCCTGCCATAGCTATATGTAAGAAGACAAAAAACCCTGTGAGGAAAAAGCATTTTAACTTGAAATATGGAGCTCATGTATTTCATATGAAATGGATACACAGTGATACTGCAGGAATAAAAGGCAGATATACAAGAACATGCTGTGTGTCTTTGTTGAGTCCCTCCGGCACATTGTGCACCAAAAAGCACACCATAATCATCCACATGCAACATAGGCCTACATGTGGCGATCAAAAGTAAGTTAAATTCAGAGGTTTGTTCAGGAGATACATTCTGGCCACATGATGTACAGCATATATTTTACAGGGGGAAAAAAGATTAGGTCCCTGAGATATGTGTATGCAATAACACACCACCGAAGACTATAGACCATAACGCATCACTGCCCAATGAAAAATTGTTGATCAATGCACACCTCCTAACCCTTCAACCCCCCCCCCACCGTTAGGCGCTGGCAGAGCAGGTGTGTTTGGTCATGAGGGTGCAGATGTTCTGTCCGCAGCCCCAGCACGGGTGCAGCGTGTGTGTGTGATATGGTGTGGTCTTCCTCCTGCACAGGGTACACACACCCCCAGCCACCGCAACCTGCCTGTCTCCACCCCTTCCAGCCCTAGCCTGCTTCTGTGATACCAGCTGCTTTAGCTCAGCCAGGATGGTGGGGTTGGGTGCAATGGCGATGCCGGTGACCTCGACACGCTGGGGGTCAAACACACAATCCTCCTCCAGGCCACTGGGCACGGAGAGCATGCCACAGTTGGGGGGCACCCATGCCGTGTCGTACCCCGCTGCGTTCCAGCTCTTCTGCATAGGGTGGTTGTCTTTGTCGATGCGTTTCACGCGGCCAGCATTGACACGCAGCTGCAGCACCACACGGTCGGAGGCATTGGCTTTTAGCGGGTAGCGCTTGGCCTTGCACTTGTTGCGGCTCACGTACACACCTGGGCCTAGCATGCCATCAGGGGACTGGCGGAAACCATTGGTGATGATGAGCCGAGCAGTCTGGACATTGGTGCCATGGTACATAGTGTAGGCACCCCCCTTTTGAGGCTCCTGCTCCGCCCCCAGTTCCAACACCAGGGATTCGTCATCGTACACCACGTCCCAGCCAAAGAACGCCACCGACATCCTATAATTAAATTCATTGGACAGTCAAAACAAAATATTCTTCAGGGTGTATATGGGAGCCAAAAATAACTTCCAATTAATGGAACGGTGTAAAATGATTTGAGTTGGCTGCTAAGTGTAGGCCTACTTCCTGGCATTGGTGTAAAGTGCTTTAAAATGGCAATATGTAACTTTTTGCGCGACCGGACCAAATTCACATAGAAACGTTAGTTATAGATCTATCATTCTACTTGCAAGTCTACTTGCAAGTCTAAAGTGATATATCTGTTCTATGTGCACTATTTCTATGCTTCCCGTTGTTAAGTTTTGTTAACTTTTTTTTTTACTTTCGGTTTTGTACACCAGCTTCAAACAGCTGAAACAACAATATTTTTGGTTATGGAAAATATACTTCACAGCGGTTTAGATGGTACAATGATTCTCTACACTATACTAGCTTATTTTGTCACATAAAGTGAAATTAGGCAAACAATTAGAGTTTTAGCAACCAAGAAATGGCGGAGCGATTTCTGCATAGTGCAACTTTAAGTACAAATACTTTAAAGTACTACTTAAGTAGTTGTTTTGGGTTTTTGTACTTTACTATTTATATTTTTGACAACTTTTACTTTTACTTTTACTCCACTACATTCCTAAAGAAAATAATGTACTTTTTACTCCATACATTTTCCCTGACACCCAAAAGTACTCGTTACATTTCGAACGCTTCCTTAGCAGGCTGGGAAAATGGTCCAATTCACACACTTAACAAGATAATGTACCTGGTCATCCCTACTGCCTCTGATCTGGCAGACTCACCAAACACAAATTGTTTTTTTTTGTAAATTATGTCTGAGTGTTGGAGTGTGCCCCTGGCTACCCATACATTTTTAAAACAAACAAATCTGGTTTGCTTAATATAAGGAATGTGAAATGATTTATATGTTTACTTTTGCTTTTGATAACTAAGTATATTTGAGCAATTACATGTACTTTTGATACTTAAGTATATTTAAAACCAAATACTTTTAGCCTTTTAATCAAGTAGTATTTTACTGGGTGACTTTCAATTTTACTTAAGTCATTTTCTATTAGTGTTAATATGTAACTTTTTGGCCAACGACCAAATTCACATAGAAATGTGAGTTATAGATCTATAATTCTACTTGAAAACAAGTCTAAAGTGGTAGATATGTTCTATGTGCGTTATTTCTATGCTTCACGTTCTTAAGTTTTGTTTTTGCGTCTTGTACTTTCGATTTTGTACACCAGCTTCAAACAGCTGAAACAACAATATTTTAGGTTATTGAAAATATATCTCACAGCGGTTTAGATGGTACAATGATTATCTACACTATACTGGCTATAATGTCATATTTATAATGTCATATTTCATTTATGACTTATACATAGCTGCTAAACATGGAACTGTATGGACCGCAGACAAAACTAAACACAATGGCATAACCATAACAGACAGAAACAAAATAAAACAGACAAGAAATTGCTTTCCAAATTAGTATTACATGAATATTAGTGTTTTTCTTACCTGTACAGCAATGCGTCCGCGAAGTGAATCGGTCAACCTGAGCAATTCTACTTTCGTTTTCTGTATAACAAAATGTAAAGTAGCCTAGGCTAACGAAATAGCACTACGTTATAAAAACAGCTAAAACGGGAACGTGCCGCATTAATAGACCTAGACGCAGTACAGACCACAGAATTGGGCCTATATCTTAGACCTCGTAATGCAGACGATTCCCATAGAGAATTCCTCTATAATTAATTATTGCAACAGTTGCAAGTTCAACTCGGCAACTGTAACAACTTGGAGGACACTTATGTGCTGCATCTCAACAGTATTTGTTTCCTCCCCTCCCCTCCTCACCTTTCCTTAATATTTACATTTACATTTAAGTCATTTAGCAGACGCGCTTATCCAGAGCGACTTACAAATTGATAAATGGTTATATCAAATTTAAAAGTGAATAGAATGTTGTTGTTACTATAATAGTGTGCTGTAATATGAAAGGCCTATAGTAGCATGGGGTGGTATGCGCATATTACCTCATGAAATTGAGATAATATGTACATATGACCTCAATCAGTGTTGCCAACTCCTCAGTAAGGAAAGTAGCTATTGTCTGTCCTAAAAGTCACTAGAAGTCGCTAAATGACGTCATCACCTAATTTGCATAATTGGCCATGTGCATGTAATTGTGATGGACGCTGTAGGAGAGAGGAATAACGTTGTGGGAGAGCCAAAAGGTGAGTAAAAAAAAACTAAATATGTTTAGAACTACAAATGAACTTTCTTCTGTCGATTCTAGTTTTTTTTTATGTCACAATTCCAACCCTCCTCCTTTATCCGGGCTTGGGACCGGCAAAAGTGACCCAAAAGAGACACTCTGGCTGAGGGTTTTTTATTTATTTATTGTATTTTTTATTTTATTTTTCTTAAGTTTGGTTTGGTTTTTAACCTTATGGTCCACTTAGGAGCCTACAACAAGTCACAGTAAAACATGAACATTTTTAACCATAACATTTGTAACATTGTTTTGTATACAATCTACATTAACAATCTAAATGGACCAAAAAGAGACAGTAGAAAAAACGGTCAATGGCAATGTGAGAAAATGATGGTAACTAGCCTGGCCCTAATTCAGGTTAATAGTTTTTTCAGACCCCCCTCCACACACACACAGGCTGTGATGGCTCACAGAAAGAGTGGGTCATCGTCATTTTGGTCAAGGCTCTCTATGGCAGGTTCAACAACTGAGTGAGCAGACTTAAATGAGTAAGCAGCTGATGTGCCAAAAAGCTGCAAAACATTATCAGGCAACTGGTGCTCATAGCAAGCCTCACCAGACAGCTTCAGTCCATATCGAATGTACAGGATGGAGTTAAGGACATCCGATTTCTAAGTTTTCTTTTTACCACACTCATCTGGCTGAATACTCTCTCGACTTCAGCATTCGAGTGTGGCAAGGACAACACAGACACAGAAGCCATGGCAAGTTCTTGAAACGGGTTGATATCAGCTGCATCCCTGAACTTCCAAATCTCACTCCAGAAGCCCAGTGTGTTTTTTGTCTCATTCCATTTACTAAGATGGATGGCACGCCATTGCTGGACAATCTTGTCTATCTCTGCAGTGGAGTAGCCAAGGAGCTTGGATATTTTTTCTATTTCTCCAGGGCTCTTATTTTGCTTTAGAGTTTCCTCCACATTGAAAACTGACACGTACTGCAATGCTTCGATGTTGTCCGGCAGTCTCACCCTCAACTCATTAGTGAGGGAGATGGTGAAGGCTACACACCGCTTTCGGAAATTGTTTTCATCCTCAGGCGCAAGGTGGAGCTCAGCTTCCTTTGACTCAAAAAGGTAACTAAGGTACGGTTTGGGACTGATGTATCCATCTATTGGCCCTTTGAGTACATCAACATTTGCCAGTGGATTCAGCACCCTGCTGCTCACAGACTTGATCAGGCTAACCAAGCTGTCAAGTAGCTTAAGAGGATCTACTTGCTCTCCTTCAAAAGCCTTGATGGCCAACTGTATCTCACCCAGCACTGACTTCAAAAAAGTCAGATACAATATGTTTTGAGGATCACTGTATATGGAGTATAAAACCTCAGCCATGTAGCAGTGTTCACTGGACTTGCGAAATGCAGTCTAAGCTCCTCCCACTGGTCCAAAATGCGTGAAACCGCGGGTTCAATGGAGAGCCAACGTGTGGCACACCTTGGTTATCTGTAAAGGTTTCTCCCCACAGTTGATGGTCTCATATATGGCCTCCCTGCGCTTTGGAGACACTGAAAACCAGTTCTAAGTCTCTCGTACCAAGTACTCCACACTCCTGGGGATGGTGTCATTGGAAGCATGACTTACAGCAAGCTGCAGAGAGTGGCACACACAGTGAATAAGAACCAGCTCTTTGAGGCCATACTCCTCCTTTAGCACTTTATGGACCCCATTGTTAATCCCTGTCATAACAGAGGCATTGTCAGTCCCTATCCCCAGGAGTTTCTCTTTTTTAAGACGACACTTCTCGAGGAAAGCCACAACAGCACAGGCTATAGATTTGGCATCTCCTCCCTCCAACTCAACAAGCCCCAGAAATGTAGATACAATTGTCTGCTTGGTGTCACTAAAGTACCTTATCACAACCCCCAGGTACTTAGAAACACTTACATCCGTGGACTCATCGAGGAGGAAGCTGACCAACTTTTTCAGAAAGTATGGGGCTAGAACACCATTAATTATTTCTGTGCACTTTGTCCTGTGTATTTTGAAGTGGGTAGCTGCAGTGGAGTCTGAGAAAGCAGCTCTACATGCTTCTCCAATGTGATCACATGCCAGCGATAGCTAATGCCATGGTGGCCTCAGCCTTTTTTGCAGAGTCAATTTTTTTAACCATAAATGGCAGCTTGTTTTGGGTGGAACTGTTATAAGGCTTTGCCTTCTGAGTATGTTTTTGAGTTGTCATGTGTTTTTTTTACATCACTAAGTTTGGCGTAGAAATCAGCCTTACAATACAGGCAGTATGCCCGTGTATCATCTCCAATAAACGGCTTCAACCAACCTTTGAATTCAGGGTTTGTTTCTGTGGGGTTCTATTTTCTCATAATTGGATCTGTATGTGATGAATAGCTTAGAAGGAATGCATTAATGATAAGCATAGGTTTGTACTATACTGATATAAATTGTTTCACATAACAGGCTGTGATTCATGTGAGGAACGTTAGGGGATAGGACAGATAAGACTTGTATTTCTTACAGATACGAACACTGCCTCTTTGTTGTCTGTGAACCGTTGTCTGTGAACCGTCCTTGAACTGGGTACTCACAGTACAGTGGAATGGTGTCTTTTGGGTGCTAACTCCACAGGTTGTTATAATAAAAACCTTATGCCTGGCAACAGTGTGCAACAGGTGGAGCGCCAAGAGGCTGGGACCAGCCGGTGCGCCAACGGATAGGCTGAGTAAGTCTAAACCACGCTCAGTCTCTACTCTGATTGGCCAGCAGGGAGTGGGAAATATCTCTGTCAGAGTATTTGAAGAAGAACCTGTAACAATGGATTAGTTCTCTGAGTGCCCTGCGTGGTATTTCAGTGGACCCGTATATACGAACCTTCATACTTATCATACATACATTTTGCATAAAATATATTTAGCTTGGATTGAAGATCTCTTGATTCTTATTCCAATACCAGATTTGAATTACGCAATTTCTAACATTTCCCACTCCTTTCTGTATTTTTGAGTGTACAGTTTAGACTGAGACATTATGAGCTAGCCAGCTAGATGTTTAGCTTATGTCACAGAGAGGCACACACACAGTGGACGAGGTGAGTAAGTGACTGAGGCTGTGTGAGTCAAATGCAGTGATTTATTTTTGTGCAGTGATTTATTTTAGACAAAGAACATTTTACATTTACATCCCGCCCTGAATGTAAGCCAAGGCGGGATCAGCCAGCGGCAGCTTCCCGCATGCACGATTCATTTGTAGTCTGGACGCGGAGGGGTGAACATCTCCTGCTCTGACTGCAGCTGGGAGGGACTGCTGCGCGAGGACTGGGCCACCTGTGAGTGCTTTGGGACGGGGGTGGGGCCCACGGCAGCACCCGCTGCTCGTTGAGAAGAGTAAGAACGATACGTGCTTTCACGTCAGAGTCTCCAAAAGTCTCCAATAACACCAGAAAAAGTCGCTAGATTTGTCGCTAGTTGATTTTTAAAAAATGTGTCGCTAGAGGGGTCTGAATACTCGCTAAATATAGCGACAAAGTCGCTAAGTTGGCAACACTGACCTCAATTACCTCGACTAACCTGTGCCCCCACACATTGACTCTGTACTGGTACCCCCTGTATATAGCCTCGCTACTGTTATTTTACTGCTGCTCTTTAATTTTTAATATTTTACTAATCCATTTTTTACTTAACCAATAATGCAGTTTTAAGAAAAATAAGTGTTAAGTGCTTGTAAGTAAGCATTTCACCGTATTCGGCGCATGTGACAAATTAAATGTGATTTGTTTTGAGTATAATATAGCAAATTGAGGGGTAGCCCTGACCGGGACTCAAACCCGGTCCAGCGACTGTCAAGCCAAAACCTTAACCATTTATGCCAAGAGGTTCAATCCTCTTGATAAGGTTGCTACATGTTGGGTTAAGGTTGCTACGTTACCATTACCCCCTTCCTTTGGGAGAGCGAGTCCCCATGCTTCTCTATACCAAGTCCCTCACATGTACACGGGTCTCTGATAGACCCACCCACCCGACACCAATGTAGCGAATTCAAGGGGTAGCCCCAACCGGGACTTTAACCACCCTGGTCCAGCGACTGTCAAGGCAACACCTTAACCATTACGCCAAAAGTTCTAAACCTCTTGACGAAGTCGCTAAAGATATTCTGGATAGGGAGAGTCAGACCCTGCAACATGACTTACGGCCTTCATAGACTTTTCTATAGGCTCTGCTGGCTGCTGCTGCTGTGTATAGAACATTAAGAACCTCATCAATTATGCCTTGTCCTCCCCCCTACTTTCCCCTTCCCTCCTCTGAAGACAGAGTGAAGGATTGAAGAGTCTGAAGAGCTAGCTTCACAGCCGTATAAAGCTGAGACTGGGGCGTGATTCATGGCTGGGTTTATTTCTGGTTTTATTTTCTGATCTGTCCCTTCGCTTTTTGTCAAGGGCTTTAGAAGCCCTGAAGAGGGAAGGCTTACCAGCTAGCACATTTGGTTCCTTAGAAGTTGTGGGATCGTACGTTTTTGATTTCCCATTGGTTCTAGGAACAAAGCCATACGTTTCCTCACCGTTAAAACTGAATGTTTAAAAAAAAAA